ATAAATCGTACTATCTGGGTGTGGGACTACTCTTTATACAGTGATGTACACGGACTGAATGGGGTTACCGTTTACAAGGTGGCCCTATTCTTTCTATGACGGACAATGGCGGTTACGTGCTGGACTGTTTACAGGGTGGCACTCGTTGTCCTTATATCAATGTATATCCAGTATTCTTCATTTCACAGAGATCGTTTTTTTCGTGCATGATGCTCTTGCTATACAGGGGAATGTACGGATTGAATGGGATTACGTGCTGGACCGTTAACAGGGTGACCCTATTCTTTCTGTGACGGACTTGAGGAGGTTACGAGCTGGACCGTTTACAGGGTGGCTCTCTCTGTCCTTATGCCTTTGTATACTAAGATACGTCATGCACTCCGCACATATCGCCTAAAATGCCAATCACCAGCACTGACGGCTGAAGGAGCTGGATTTACCGAAGGTGGACCTGCAGAGCTTCTTACTCCCGCGTACCGTTACCGTCTCGCGTTACCGTCCCGTATAAGCTTTCGCGTTTACCACCGCATAACCTAAATGGCACGCTAGTATTCGTTCACACACTCGCTCTCTGTCTCTCTCGCTCCCTCCCTTTTCGTCATTCCGTCAGTTCATTAAATATTACCTTTTTATCATTTTCATTACGTTTTGTATCTATTATTTTCGACCTAATAAACTTAATTTGTTGGTTACATTTTTGTATTTTCATTTTAAGGATGCGCATATTGACCTCTGGTTTTCCGTCTCGACTGTTAACAGCTACCTGGAGCACTTGGGCCCTTAACCACTATAATCTTAAGGGTGACGCCCGAGTTTTCCGAAAACCCTTTAACCGTCCGGAAAACGCTACACATTTGGCGCCCGAGTAGGGACCGTTTTGACTGTTTTGCGCATGTCAACGATGTCAGCATATGACCGAGGTAATTACGTTCTCAGTCCCCGTTTCTACCGAGAGGCCGGGCCGTTTGTTTTGGCGACGCCCGTTACCGTACCGTTTTCTATGTGATTGCCAGACCGCATAGCGTCGGTAAGAATTAACCGCTCATATTGGACCGTTCGGCGCATGCCTTGTCATCCGCCTCATAAGTTCGAGGTCTTAACCAATGCCGTCTGTCCGTGGAAGATGTTCCTGTTGTAGTTCGCACCGCCTTGGACCGAGGATCTCTATTTTTGGGAAGTGTTGGTAAACGCATGCGCTACCGCTCATTTTCTTGTAATCCGAGGTCGCTGATTTCATTTTTCCATCTTAAAACTTTCCCCATTAATGTGATTTCACAAAAACCGGCTTCTCCGTTACCATTTTCACTGCAATGTTCACTGCACATGCAGGAATTGTGTCATACCATCTTTCCGACTAAATCAAGGTTGCCGAATCTCATTCTACTATTAGAATAGTAGTATCTTATACCGGTTGCCAGGTTGCCACATTTCGTAATATTTCTGAATATTTACCGTATTTACCGAATAGTAAACCGTGAAAGAGGAGTGTACGCACTAGCCCCATCTTCCTACCAACTTTTGGTCGTCAATGTCTCCCCACTGCCTTGGAAGAATATAAATTAAGATCATCACACGATTCAAGAAGAGATCGACCAAGCCCTCAAAGGAGCAACATCTAAAAAACCGTTCCGAGAGATCCGACCGAGTCCTCAAAGGAGCAACATCTAGTAAACCGTCCAAAAGAGTTACGTGACCAAACCGTTTACCTTCTACACTTTGAATCACTAGAGTTCCGATAGAGCGACCGGCTTGACAACACGCAACTCAACCAACAAAAAAAAGAGTTCCGACAGAGCCCAGCCCGAGAACACCTAATTGTTAAGAAACCGCTGAAAATCGTTGCCGATTAACCTCACCTGTATTCCACTACCGGTAAATAAGCTTTAACCCGAGTTACGATGACGGGAGGTACCGGCAACAATGGAAGCCCACCGGTTATCAGTACACCAAAAACCACTGCTTCTACAGTGGTTACAACCAGTCCAGAAAACCCGACCGCACATTAGTACCAATAACCACTCCACTCACCCCGTTTGGTACGATTCTAACGATGGTCGTGTGAGTTGGGTTTATCTATTAAAGAAAGACGAACTGATTCCTGAACTAACACAATTTGGACTGGACACTACAGGTAACCTAGAAACATTGAAAAAGCGACTAGTAATATTCTATCGCCAGGGAAAGGCTTCACCAGCACCGACCACCATGGCAGGATTCAACTTTCCGACCAGTTCCGGCACGCATACGACGCAGGCAAATAGTACAGCTGCCCTTACTCAGACCAGTACTGCTAATACTGGGGCACCAGAACGGAATGTCGGAGTGCTGCCAAGTTATTCTGCTCCCGCTGCGGAAAATCGGGTATAATGTCCTGAGACTGACTGTGTGACCGTCCCCGTTTGGGAATCTAAAAAGGTGCTCTCCTAGTCCGAGGTCAGCCCAGCACCGTAAGCTAAGAAACTCGAATAGACATCCATTTTTTCCGGAAGATGTAAACCTGATTCGTCTACTAGATTCTCGACCGCATGTAGGTATACATTTACATCAATGAGGCTCCGTTCTTAGCTTTAATCGATACCGGAGCCGCTAACTCCTATATAGGACACCTCGCCGCAGACATATGCCGTCTTAAAAATTATCCCGAAGTACAACCTGTGATCCGAAGCGCCAACGTGGCCAATAATGGTGGTGTGATCGAGATTTCCAAAGCTTACCAAACACCGATACAGCTCGGCAACATCACACTGACCGAAACCATGAGTAACTTTCCGAATTTGACGTCTGACATTGTAATTGGGATGGATGTCTTAAGCCGGCAACAATTCCATCTAGACTTAGGAAGTAGCGATGATTATCTGAAAAATCGTCTTTTACCGTTTCCTATTTTGTGTAGTCCTATTGGTCCGATAGATGTCCTGCCAAACCTGGAGTTAACGTTTCCCGAAAAGGTACTATTGCAGAAATTCCTGGACCACGAGGTGTCGAAGTTTGACCAAATCAAAGGCAATACTCCGTTAGTGGAACATTCTATCAATTTGCTCAATCCCGACCCAATTAAACAGAGATACCATCCTCGGAATCCCAGAAGCAAGAATTAATTAACACCGAAGTACGGAAGATATTGGATGATGGGATCATTGAACCGTCCGACAGCCCCTGGAGTTCACCCGTAGTCATTGTAAAAAAGAAAAATGAGAAACACCGTTTCTGCATCGACTTCCAAAAGGCTAATGGCGTTAGCCGAAAGGATACTTCCCTATTCCGTTTTTTAATTCTATACTGGACAAACAAAGAAGGGCCTGATATATTTCTAGTATGTATCGACCTTAAGCAAGGATACTGGCAGATTCCTCTTGCCGCGGAAAGTAAGTCCGTTACCGCTTTCACCATACCAGAAATGGGTCTATACCAAAAGGCATTACTCCCTTTTGGTTACATTCCGCGCCCGCTATATTCCAGAGGCTAATAAAACGCATTATAGGCTCAGAACTAGATAGTTATCGCTTTGCATACCTGGATGACAATATAATTTTGGGCGAGACTTTTGAGGAACACCTGAACAATTTAACCGAAGTTTTCTGAGGTTTTAGAGCGGCCAATCTACGACTAAATATGGATAAATGTGAATTTGGCAAACGTTGCCTCCGATATCTGGGGCGCTCTAATCTTTCTATGATGAGCCAAGAGAACGTCTGCCGGACCGATCACGGGCTATCTCTCTTGGTACCATTTCCATACTTATGTCATGTTTTGGACTGCGGATTGAATAGCGTTGAGGCTCTGTTCTCTCAATAGAGGATTGGTGGAGCCGTCTCCGACCGAACTGATACCGAGTGACGCACCCCTCTAATTCTGTCCTTCTCTTTTCTTCACATTTGCACTCTACTCGGTTGCATAGTTCGCGCATGAGCCTGGAATACGAGCTGAAGGTGGTTGGAATACGGCAGTCTAGCAACAGTAATCCCTTGGAGCTATTCACCGATACCGTTATTTTTCGACGACTTATTACCCCTATTTTTCCGCCACGTAGGTACATAATATTTACACGTTATTTTCACCGACTTCGTTCACTCTCCCCGCTCTTCGTCTCTCAGTCAATTGCATTTTCATTGTTCCTTAAATCTTATTGTTATTGGGCGAATAAAAACTTTAAATTGTTAGTTGAATGGTGGGTTTCATTTTGGGGATGCGCACCTTTGGTTTTCCGTCTCTACTGTACTGTAACAAGCTACCTGGAGCACGTGGGCCCTTAACCACTATAAATTCTAAAGAGTGGCGCCCGAGTTTTCCGAAAACCCCTTAACCGCCAGGAAAATCAAAGTAGCGCTACAATTTTAGAGGGTTTTTATTTCCATACATTTTAGTACTAAATTTTATTTCCTGAATTCAACTGTTTTGGTAATATTGATAGTTGAAAATTTACTTTTTTCAACTTTGACAGGCTGTAAAATGTAAACGGTTAATTTTAGAGGAAACCCGATCTCACATTCTTTAGATTTTCATAAACTATCATTTGACACCAACTCTGAATTAAACCGGAGATTAAATTTGACCGGAATTTGTGATAATGGATGGAGTTCAAAGTTTGTGTCAAATGATAGTTTATAAAAATCTAGGACAAAAATGTAAAATCGGTTTTGCTGTGAAATCACCCGTTTGGGTTTCACAGCATGTCAAAGTTGCAAAATTCAATTTTCAGCTGTCAGTATTTTCAAGATAGTTGAACCTAGATATTAAAATTTAGTACCAAAATTTATGGTATTGAAAATAGATAATAGAGGTGGTAAGTTTTAAAATGAACACCCTGTATACACAGAAGTTTCAGATTAAGATAAAATTTGCAGCGGTGTTGTAACATTTTTATCAGGTACCTACGGAATTTTGGGCTTAGAAGATAATGATATTTATATGGTGACAACAACTTTAAATAATGAAACTAAAGAAAGACGAGTAGCTATATTTTGATTTAAAGATTGGTTCAGATATTAAAGTATACTTACTCGATAGATGGCGGAACTGGTAAATCCTTATGAAAACCTTCCCTACCGAGTAGCCAATAAGTATTCATAGGTCCTTTCCCTTTGATTTCCGTAGGACCACGCGATTCAATATGATATCCGCTGGCTTTGGCCAGCCTGTTTTTCGTCGTTTCCGACATGTGAATTCGCCAGGCGGCACCTTTACACGAAAAATATTTCAACTCAACATAATTCGAAACCCAAGAAATTCACCTGTCGATTCCATCCTCGAAGCGGTGTTCACCGTATCGCCGAAAAGGCAATATCTGGGCATCGTCAGGCCCACCACCCCCGCGCAGCAAGGGCCGGTGTGGAGTCCTATTCTCAATCTGAGCGGGGTGCCTGGTAGATGTCTGATGCGAAACTTGCCACTTTGATGTAGAAGGTCGAGAGCCATTGTAGCAATCTGGAATAAATAAATTGTTATATTAAAAAGTAGCTAAGTGAAACTCAATAAATGTTCTGTTTGATTCTCCCAATTCCAAATCCAATTTAGGCTTGAGTTTACATCCGTTTTTATCCTATCAAAAGATTCTGGACATAATTCCAATAATAAATTGGAAAACTTGAAATTATTAGTACCTGATGCTTGCTCAGTTTTAGTTTGGAATTGGAAGTTACTTCACCTCTTTGGCATCAACACCAATAGTGGCAAATATATTTGATACTTTAATTCTTGTGCTTTCGTCTTCTTTTTTCTTTTCTGCAGTTTTTCCCTCTTCTTCAGTCATAAGTCATAAAAATTTCACTAGCTTCCTCTTAGGTCTTTGAACAATAAGCTTATTTTCAATTTGCTCTTAAAATTCTTCTGGTAATTTCAGAAATTTCTAAGAGACAAGCTTCTTCACTAATTTGTTTCTCAAAGATCTTTCATGATTGTCATTCTAGAGCAAATTCAGTTTGTTCTTTTTTTTATTGGGATTTTTTAAGTACCGTTCTCATGAAGAAAAGTACCTTATCAGCCATCAGGCATTAGTTTGGCGTAATAAAGTTGCGCAAGGCAAATTTCCGTTGATTACCGAAAAAATTTAAATCAAAAGTCTCGTGATTACCGTTTTAGTCAAGTTTGAATTTCGAACCCCTTTGTGGGTTTTCTGAGGAGCTGTTTTACCGGGGAACCGTTTTTTCCGAGGAGCTGTTTTTTTCCGAGGAGCCGTTTTTCTCAAGGGATCCATTTTCAACAAGTCCACATCTCTGGGCATGGAGCTCTTGAAGTGATTTCCTAGAGGAATCAAGTCCCTCACGTATCAATGCGTGAACCGCCACATTTGACGAAGAAAACTGAACTTCTAGTCTTGATTCCAGGCTAGAATCCGCAACTTCTATGTGCAACTTCCCTCGTCAAGTGACCAGAAATGCATGGCTACCAATACCGTACTCTACCTTTTGTTGGAATTGAGGCTTGTATAGAGTTTCAATTATAACGTTTATTACCTTTTTTATGAAATCTATTTTATGATCAATTACCATATTTAATTGATTAAAGTTTATATATTCAAAATTTCAATTTCATTCATTACAGTCTCGACACACCGAAGTGAACTTTAAATAATTATTTCCGATTTTTGATTTACCGTATTTACTATAGATTTTATCTTTACTTAACTTTTAGTACCGCCTTATTTAAAGATTTAAAGAATGTACTTATATTCTATCAATGATAATTAATCAGTAATCTGAACAAAAGTGAAGGTTGGAAAACATGCTCTAAATTTAAAATTTTTGAGTGACACTTTCCGTATGAGGAGCGAGGGGGTGAAGTAATCTGTGGGGTGAAGCATAGGGCAAAAACCACGCAAAAACAGGTGTGACGTCAGGTAACTATTCTAATGTAGGGAGCCACCAGCTCACATTTTTTTGGAGTATCAGATTAAAGTCGACGGACTTTACCTACATCGTCAAAAATTGATCAATTGTTAACCCTAGGTCCTATAACCTACATATTTGAGGATTTCTACTATATTTCCTAACCATTCAACCCAACTTTCGATTTCATACAGGTGTAAGTTGATTTTATTGAATTTATTCTTTAAGCAGAAGTTGACCATTTTTATCAATACAATGAAACTTACTTAATTATTTTATTGCTTCTACTTATGTCAAGATTTGATTGAGTTATATGCCTTATTTATTTCCTTATCAGAATTATCAATTACCGTTTGCTGATTATTTTTTTTAGGTGTGATTCTGAATTTTTGCCATTCAATATTTTAGGTTATTTAATTGTTTATTTTTTTTCTTAAAGTCAGTGGCGCCCTTGTTATTCTGTACTTATTAAACTATTGACCCACCCCTAATAATTATTCGCTGAGCAAACCGAGCATATCATAGGCCTCTTGATAATTCATTAACAAAAGGGGTTGAAACAGACGAACGAATTGAGCTTGACTCTATTCAAATTTCACTCGTCCTTTTGTTCCTGGGTGATTATCTCTACCATGGAATTGATTAACGATTTCATGTCTAACTTGCGTTAACTACCGATGATTATAGTTCGTCGATTTTAATCTGATACTCCAAAGGAATGTGAGCTGGTGGCTCCCTACGTTAGAACGCCAATGGTCACCTGTTTTTGCCATATGCTTCATCCCCTCGCTCCTCATACGGAAAGTATCAGATTAAAACCGACGGACAATATGCAATGGTATCTATTGTAAATGAAAATAAGCAAATTTTACAATATGCAAATAATTTGGTACATCTGAATTGGAAATCAACGTCCCTTCTGGAGGATCTTTTTGATAAATACAGCTAATATTGGAGGAAAAAGAAAAACAAAAAAAGCTCATTGAAAGCGGAAATTTGTAGTTTTATACAAGATTGTACATAATTGTGAGAAAAATATGTTGTTCTGCTTTTATAAAACTTATTTCATTAACTATTCCAAAAACAATTCACTTTTGCTCATAATAGCTAATGAAAAATTAATTTTAATTAAGTTTTTCGGCCGGTTGGCGTTAAACCTCCGGATCTCCGGATAGGTACGTCTTATGAACAAAAGAGACTTGGTATTAAGGCTCTCGGGCACATAAACAAAGACGCTTGGAAGGCATTTCCCATAATCACCCTAAAACAAATAATGTATATTGGTTAAAGCTTCTTAGTATCTGGGTATCTGCCAGAAGATAATATAAAATAATTTCTATAGGGAATAATGTAATAAGACGATGCATTTTCACTGAGTAGTATAATTAAAATTATCCGGGTCATAAAAGCACAGATAAAAGCTTCTAGTCGTAAAGTTAATTTGTTTTCCTCATTACTTATATTGAAATGTCAAGCTTATATTATGAAAACTCGCGAATGGACAATTTTTTAGGGGGACATTAAATATAATAATTTCTGTTAAACATCTTCGATCCTGTTGAGTCTACACAATTTATCTGGCGATGAAATTTTGGGTGAGATCAAGATTGTTTTTATAGGTATAATCAATAAATAGTAACGATAATTTTACGGTTTCTGCCTCATTATCCCTTATCAAAGAACGGTTTATCGGCTGATCGATTGAGGTCATTATAAAGTGCTCCATTATTTAAATTGCACAATACGTCAACGTCTTTGCACTAGCGCTCTACGGTTTGAGAGCAATTTGCAGAACAAATAGGAAATCAGCATATGAAAGTGGAATTCATAATAATATTGAAGGTACTCTAGATGGAAATTGGCTATCGATTCAATCCAATATTAATAGGTTCTATATGTTGAGTGGAAGTCACTACATGAAAGTCACAAACTTCTCATTTCTTTCTGTAAAACGCGGGATTATTAAACTCAGGTATTGTGAAAATTAACACACAGTAGTTTCGGCAGTTTTCTACAAGCTCCAACATGGCTTTGTTTTTTGATTGATTTGAACATTTTCAATTTCATAATCGATTACTTTAATACACAAGTTCAAATATTATTTAATTCAAATTTTGGGAGTATAAATTACAACTAAAAATAGGTGCTGATTGAAAACTCCAATATTTGTCCTGATCTATAAATCCCAGACGTATTTCGTCAAAGTTTTAATTCAGCCTAGCCAAATCTACTTTTTGTTTGGATAAACCAGTTCATTGAATCAATTTTAAAATGGAAATTTTAGTGAACATATATTAACTTTGCTCAAAGTTTTTTGTCTTATTATTTCTGGCAATATATTTTTCATGCTACAACATCCCTTTCATCAAACTTCGTATATTACTTTCTAGTTTTACGATTTTCTGATACGAAACTTTTTCAACTAACTGATTCGCCGCCCTACAAAGGCATTAGGAGGCGTAGATATTTCCATCTATCCATCTATTTTCGTATTTTATCTCGGTTGGGGGTCGAGTTTTATTATTAAACCAAAAAAATTTATCGGCTTTTTGAAACAAAGAGCCTAAACAATAAAATCAATTTTGAAATAAGAGGAGTTCTCTTATTTTTGTAATTCAAAGGAGTGCTTGAATAGAGCTTTAAGAAGCTTTATAGAGATGTTTTATTTTTCTAATAAACATCGCATGTCAGAAATGTTCTAGAGAGATAATTGGTTGACATCAAAACATCAAAATAAGTTACCCAACATTTTATACATGTTTTTTTTTTAAATTTATTTAGGTATTTCTTCAAACACAAATTTATGAGGTGTAGTAATTATATTTTCGATTCAGAAACTTGTATTTAAAAAATAAACATTTATCAATTAGTTAAAATACAGAGGTGACAAAAAAAAAAATTGGATCAAATCAAAAAGCTTGAAAGTAAATGAACGTTCCTTATGGGATTGCGCTGGCTTAAATAATAATTTAATGCCGATATAGCAACTTGATGTTAACTTTACAACATAAGCTCATTAAAGCATATAAAAAATGGATATTTGATTATTAATAGACCTATCTCGCGTGATTAGAAAAAGAGAGCCTAATTGTAAAAAATACAAGTTAAGAAGCAATAAAAGATGACATGCGCGCGCAACTCGTAGGCTGCAGTGTAGCCAGATTGTATTGTTGCAGAACAAATGTAGACAATCCAAATCGAACATTGTAAAATTAAAAAAGTGATATAGTGTCGAGTGTTTTACAACGCCGTAAATCAGACAAAAGAAGAAAAGAAGAGCTTTAAAGTGGATGAACATCGTTTGCACTTTTATTTTTATAATATGTTTCATCCGGCAACCTCTCTCAATGAAATTGCAAAGGAATATGTCAAGTATAATCTAACATAACTCCAAACGAAACTGCGGTAAGTTCAAGTAATATGTAAAGTATCAGTTTGCTCTTTGTCAAATTACATGTTACAAAGAAAGAAGGAACGATTCATTCTGAACTGGCCCCTGAATAAGAATATGACGCAAGCCTGTCACAAACTTGCTTCTCATTGGACGATCACCTGCAGCCTACAAGTGACGCGCGCAGTTCAGGTAATAGGAGATCGGTC